CCATAAGCAATTATTTATGTTAAAACATATGGGAACGTTTTTTGAGTTCTACATACATCAGTTTGCAAGGCAAGGCAGTATCGTGGGCCAGGAGCTTATTATGTTTCAGATATCAATCAAATCGACCCATAGATATGGTTCTTTGAGATAGATCGATGCCGGAATGAAAATTTCCTCACGTTAAAACGATCCCAGTCCCAGAAGCTTCTTTTATAACAAATTTCATGTATATTGAACCATAAATACGATTTTTCAAATAGATCGACCACAGCCAGATCCATCGTGGAAGAAAAAGATTTCTCGTATTAAATTGATTCCGAAGTTACCACCAAATTTTATTTAAACTAAACTATAAATGAACAGGTTCCAGGTCCACTACAGGGAAGAGAAAGTACTTTATATGTAAATTTAGGCAAAAACCTATTTATGTATCAAATATTATACATATATACAAATTCACTTTCTGCGCGTTCTGCGTTCTCAGATCCTTCATACGCAAAAGACACTCTTCACACTTGTTTTCTCTGCGATTAGTGGTTTTGGTTGTGCGTTCTTCCGTACGGCGTTAGTTGCGTAATTTTTATTGCAAACCATTTGCAAATTGTTTCTGGAACATCTGTAAAAGAAGTTCCAGAGCGGTCAAGAAAAATATTAGAATATTTGATAACCTCTCTAGGCATTGCTCAACACGCGGTTTCATACAAATATACCAGATTGTTGGGACAACAAAACTCATAGACGATTTTTATCATTTAAGCAGTTTCTAAGACTTTAAACACATTATTGTCAGATGATATGAGAGGCGCACAATTTTTCTTGACTCTCTATTTTGCAATCGAAAATAACATCTTTATCCAGCTTTTAACAATTAAGTATTAGACCGTTTCTGAGACGCTGATCTCCTTCTGTAATTTATGATGTTCTCACCCATGGAGGACGCTTCTGCATCTGGTTTATAAGAATTTCCTATAAAATAAATTAAAATAACTTAGGTATATATAATATACCATATAACAGGCAAGCGCTCTATAACTGCGACAACATCAATCTTCTTTTCGTTTTTACCCGAAACGAAATATTCTTGTTCATGTTCAATCTTTATCAGATAATGTTAAAACGTTAACATATAATGTTAAATCGCTAACAGATAATGTTAAATAGAAGTGTGCTGTTAAATCATAGCTGGCAGCCATTACATTTCGTTGAGTTCATTTTTCTTGTCAGCGAAACTTAATGATATCGTTGCGTTTGTTGAGTATCGCTGATTTCAGCTAATACATTTTCAAGAGAAAAATATTCCCGGATCTTCCTTTGATAAGTAAAACAACATTCATAATTTTTTAAGTTATATTAAAGGTTTTATTTTGGTCGCAAGGTGGCTCTAAGCAAAGAGGGCTCTGATTTACAATTTGCTTTGATTATTCAATAAATTATAAAAATTTATTTTTATCTCTTAAATTTATATAATATTTGCTCCACACATATTTCGCTCACTTTTTCTTAGTTAGATGACAACAATAGAATGTGTAGCAAAGTGTACTGAGTTTTTCCAAAGCATAAGCGAAGATTTAATTTTCCGCCCTAATAAGTACTCAAATCAAAGTCTTTGTGTCATCAGCCACCCTCGTAGCGCATGCATACGTGTATATTTTTGTTTATCTATATATGTATGTATGTACATACTTGTATGTATATAAGTGGATGTATTTCCACATGCGTGCATTCATTGCCTGCAAACATTAGATTGAAAATACGCTTGTAAAAGTTTTAAATTTAATCTGTTAAGCTTTATGCATATATTAATGTGTTTGTACATATGTACAGATGTAAATATGACTACAAGTATAATAGCAACAAACAACCTATACAGTTGCACTTGCTGGTGATTTGTTAGTACGCAAGCAAAAGTCAAGCAAAGCAAAGAAAAGCAAAAACTGCTGCTACAAACATAGCTCGAGTTTTAATGTTTTTGTTTTTGTTTTACTAAAGTAAAGTAACATTAAAAGCTAAAAAACTTTTTATGATGGTGTAAAGCGCCAAATTCTGCTCTTAACTGATTTCAACATACCCCCAGCCGACGCACTTGCCTTTCCGTCTTTTGTAGATCTTTATAAGTGTTACGTCTTCCAGCCTTTTTAGATAAATCTCGCCAACGCTCGTTGTGTATTTTGTTGTTTGTAGTTTGTTTGCTGTACATATGTATATTATGCAGCACCCTTTAAGGTTAACAAGTTAAAAAGTAAAATATTTGTAGGTTTTCACTTTCTTAATTTTGCATCTTGCCATCGAGTTGTTGTGCTTATTTTCGGTTTACTTTTTGTTTGTTGCTTTGTTTTTGAGTGTTTGTTATTTTAGGAAGAATATTGTGTTTTTCCGTGTATCTCAAGTTTTCGGTGTAATTATTATTTTTTCATGAAAAAAATGATAAAAATAAATTTATAAAAATAAAAATTGTTAAAAACTCGAGCGACGAAGAAAGTTTATTTCTGCCAGCCCCCAGGTTATTTACAATCTGCTTTAGTCTATTTTACCTGTGTTTTTTTTTTTTGTAACAATTCTAACTTTTTCCTGTTGACTGCCGTTGTTGAAGTAAGTAAGTGAGTGAGTGAGTGAGTGAGTGAGTGAGTGAGTGAGCGTGTGAAATCATAAGCGACAAAGCTTTGCAACAGTTGAAGTTGAAGTTGCAACACATCAGAAACGTGGCAATTTACGTACATTATATAACTGCATATTCTCCCCTGTTCTACCCACTGCTCCTTGGGGAGCTATTATTATTGAAATGTTTCTTTTGCCAAGAAACCGAGTTGACTGTGGCTTAAGAAAGGTTTATTCAAATGAGTTGAAGTTAAATTTGAAAAGTTTTCGACAAGAAAGTAGGCACATACATACATTTGTACATATGTATATATAAATGGGGAGAAATAGCATATGCGCTAATTTCACTTTGGTTGAGTAGATATTTTCGACAGGTGTGAGCACTTACGGCTCTCCCAATAATCAATTGAAAGGCATTAAATTCTGATCTAACGTTCTTAAGATTGCCTTAAAGTTGGACTCGCTAGGATTACAGATAGTATACTCTCGAACATAGCAGTGTTTGATGAGAGAGCATACTCAGGCCGTGTGCTTCACATTGCCTTCTCTTAGTTCTCTTCCCTGTTCTCAAAAGAAAATGGCAAAGAGTTTGCGTGCGTTGATTCTTTTCTCTCTCGTCTCTTTCAAACGAGATGTATGAAATATTGAAAACGCTGATCCGATGAAAATTTTCACCGACTGTGTAGTCGGGCATGCACTCGTCCCTTCATGTTCTGCAAAGAAACTCATTTGTGTACCTAAAAGCTCTTCGCATCTATGCTTGATACTCAGCCGCTCAGCTCCCGTCGGTTTGTTATACTTCAAACAGGCCATCGCTTGTAATGATGGTGGCCTCTCTATGAACCCCAAATGTTCCGTCATCAGCCATCAGGTTGTCCATCTCGTTGTTAAATGAATATGTCTCAGATTTGCAACTTGTCTTCAAGCTCCGCCTACTTCTTTTTTCCTCTGTCTTTAACATACCGCTCGTTTTGCGCTCAGCCGCAACTTGACAAGGCAGTCAATCAATTTTTTGTTGCTTACAACTTAGGAGTAGTAGATTTTCTTTCGTTTTTGACGAGTACTCTCGGAGACAAGTAATGCAGATCGAGTAGATCTGGTAGTCTGCTGTGCATGTAGATCTTTAACTACAAACCGTTCATGTATTTGCCGTCGTGCGCTCCTTGTTGCACAACGTCCAGTGAGTATCTTGGCTGCCACAAGATAATTGTCGAAGTTCAGCTCGTAATGTAAGTACATCTAATATACAAAGGATATGTGGGGGTGAAAATCGGTTAAGTCTGAGAAAAGAATTTTATTGACTCAGATTGTGGCAAGACATTTGATCACTAGAGTGAGCGATAGAGTGTCTCTTCCCGCATAAGATTAAAAAAAAATCTAAGCCTTCTCCTTCAGCTAAGTCGCCTCCGAACGGCCGGTGGATTTTTATGAGGATGTCTCCTTTTTGGTCTTTGTCTTATCCGTCACATCTCCTGTTCGGCGGCGTTATCACATTAATATTTATAAGCCAGCTAAGAAACGGTACCTTCCCAGTTAAGGGACCTCATTTTCTAGTGGGAGAACCATAAACGATAGTCCTTAGTTCATTTGCCGTGATTATGAAAATAGGTGACTTGGCGAGTGAGTGCTAATTGCCACATAAGACTTATGACAACATGTAGTCACGTCTCTGGTGAACCCTGAACTGAATAAGTCCACAAAAGCTTGCTCTCTTTTAGCCGTGGCTTAGGGCGCTATTCGGATTGGTTACTTGCGTTTGGGTTGTTCACGTTTCTTTCACATACTTCCAATTTCAGTCGGCTTAAATATCATTCTTAAAACTAAATATTTGTAATGAAATATTACACCAAATTTCGTAGTGACCATAGTCTGAAGAGTTTGAAATTTTCCCATTGTTGTTCGCTTGAAAAATTTTTTTTACACAGTCAGTCCAATGCAGGATTGCCGTAGGGCAACCGCATTCAAGAAGAAAAAGCTTTATTCGTTTTTTTTTTTGAGCTGCTTTAATCGCAGATCTCATGATAATTAATTCACTCAAATTTATAAGATTTAAAATTTTTTCTGTATAATTTCCCAGCAAGTTTTGTATAATTTTTAATTTTGTTTACAGATTTTTGGAAAACATCCTGCCCTTTTAAATGTTTCCGAAAAATCATTTTAATTTTTATTTATTAGTTTATTTTTATTATCTATTTTTTAATGAAAATTCTTTTGTATTTTATGATTTGAACCATTCTCGCTGACATTCCCAGATGTCTCGTGGTCATGTTCATAACATTAAATGTAAATTTTACAGATGTTTACATGTAAATATGTATTTTTATATTTATAAAATCAAATTCAAAAATATTAAATTAATAACAACAATAAACAAAAACAATTCTGTTCTCTTCCCACACATACAGGGTCCGATCCGAATCCATTAGCATCCGCGTACATGTCAACGGCCGCTGGTTTGCCACAATTCAGCAGCACCGCTTTATCGACTTCGCCACTGGCCAGCGTGGCATTGAGTAGCGCGGCAGCAGCAGCGGCTGGCAAACAAATTGAAGGTAAGTTCATTAGCGAAATAAATCAGAGGAGAGCGGGAGAGACAAAGAGAGTTCATTGTGCAATCGTTGATATGACGTATGCTGGTACAATCTATAGGATATATACATAAATTATGTACCTACATATACGAGGGAAGATACAAAAGTATGTGAAAAGAGGAGAAGGAACTAATGCGGGTAGAGACAGTGTCCTTGAAAATCAAAAACTTATAAAGCCATTTACAAAGGTAATCGCAACCACAAGCTCAAATAATAGAGAACAAAAAAAGTAAATAAAGTTCATTCAGTCTTTCGGAGACAGTTTTGAAAAACTTTTGGGTCCCAACATTTTGTTGAAAGAAAGTGTAGTAATAAAGTAGGTCTGCTTCTTGCCTGGATTCTGTCAGCGGGCATTACATATTCAACTTCCACAGCTGGATTTTAACTATATACAAATCCCCTAGTTCTATGTGCTGTATTCGCCGCCGCTCCCACACAGCGGATCAAACACCTTCTCTTGAAATCTCTTAGTGTAGGCTCATCGCATGTTGTCGATCATACCGAGGAAACATCAAATGATGTAATTCTGCGTTTACTATAGGTACTACTACTGCTTCCACGATAGACATTTTCCATAGCCTTTGAAGAGATTGAGAGCTTACAGTTATCTGGGAACCAAGATATTTCGTTCTGTCTTAGCTTACTACTAGGCATATTCGCTATGCAACTTTGAAGAGGACATTCATCTTTCACTTTGGTATGAAGTAGTCACTGAATACTCGTATATAGCAACCTATTCTAAACTCATTTAGCACAAAAATACATAAAATACGGACCGATCTTAGTCTGCCAAAAGCGCACAAATCCGCAAAAGCAATGGTATGCGCTACCTGCAGTTTATTAAAAAACTATCCTCTAGGGAACCGTCGCTCATCATGGAACTTACTTCAAGTTGGCGTTTGATGAGACTTACATCTCATAACCTGCGTCCTGATCATATTTATTTAAACGCACGAAAGCGTGTTTCCCAGGTTTCTACAGTTTTCCTAGCTTTGAAGCATGTGAGCAGCCTGTTTCACTCTGTTCTTTAACGTATGCACTTGAAAAAACAGTATTTGGCATTAACATCGATGGTACCGTTGTAAATAGAAGACAGCTCTTCGGATTTTCCCATTTTATGAAGATATTTTCTGAAAGATCCGTATCCGGATCTGCATAGTATTATAATCCACCTCGCCATGAATCCTGGATCACTCTACTATGTTTTTAATTAGCCTTGCCGTCCGTATGTATACTTTGGTGTTCCTGCTCCCAATGAATTTCCAGAGTTCCAATTTTTTGTGCTTTCATTCTCCTTTTTTTGTGGTAGCATTTGGGCCTTGTTTCTTCAAAGCCCATATTTTCTTTCCTTCCGAATGTTATAAATCATTTGGCGGGCTTCCGATTCTGTATTATCGAGCTATATTACCGACACAACTTCACGGTATGTCGGGACTACCCACAGAGCAGCTTCACGACGGTTATTTTGCCTCAATGAATCTGTCCATGACTCCGTTTTGTAGAGGGGCGGGCGTTCAATGTTGCTGACATCCAAAATTTCTGTATATCCTGCGTCGGTCATCAATCTACTTAAGATCTGCATAAGAGCGTTTTGCATCAACTAATAAGTCTTTATTGATATTAAAGTGATTCATGGGTATGGTCCTCTTTCGCAGCAGTTCAAAACAGCTGAGTTGGATTGGCTTGTTTGCATCAGCATGAATCTGAATCGTTGATTCTTCCACTCTACGATTTCCCATTTAACAAATTAACACTCTGTTCGAGGCACTTCTGTGTCTCCCCTCGTAAATATCCAGCTTTTGGCCGAGTCAACGGTATGTAGAGGTGTGTGTGTGTGTGTGCATTTATATCGTATTTACTTACCTTTTTTTTGAGATTTTGTGCATTTATGAATTTGTTGTGGCGTTGTAGCGTACAATTTAATTGATGTGCATATCGTCTAACATAGTCACACTTAAATACAGACACATATACATATCTGTATATATGGAAAATGTGAAAATGCTTAGCTGCCGCTGCAGTCCCTACTTCGTCCTTTTTTTTTGTTTTTGGTAGGGCATTTTGATTAATTTACCAAATGGCATAACTGTTCACATGCCGAATGCATATTTGCTAAAGACTACTACAACACCGTTATAGGTACTATTTATTTGCGTTCGTGTTCATTTGCCGCTTGCAGTTGATCGTTGGCCGTTGGTAGTTGGTAGTGGTAGCAACGGTAGTTGGCGCCATTGGCTATTGTTTGATGTGGTTTTAGCGTTTTGCAGAATATGCCAGTTAATGCTGTTACCAGTTGTTGTTGCTGTTTTTGTTGTACAACATACAGCTGCCATGTAATTAAACAATTTCATGTTCATGTCCATGTTCATGTTTCGCTTATGCAGACATGACACATTTGAGACGCCGCCCAACGGGGGAGCGGGTCAGCTGAACTAACTGAGTAACTGTAAATACATGAAACGCCAACCATTTGGTCATTAATCAAATGCTCTAACGTAACTAACTGTAAGTACATACGTATATGCACTCATATTCATATAACGTAAGAAGGAGAGAAAAAAATAATAATGTCTCACTCTTCTTTCATTAAATTATGAGCTTAACAGTGGAATTCAATTAATTTGTTCTGGTTTTTGAACTTCACGCCTCATATAAAAATGCCAATGGTGTGGGATTAGTTGTTTTGAGTGCTCAAGTATATGGGAGTTAGGCAGACGCCCTCTATTTCTCATTATTCTTTTTAGCAGAATTTTGTTCACAGCAGCTGTTGGTTAGATTATCTACAACACTGTATACCCGTAGGGTGTATTTTACCTGAGGAAGACTAATCGCGGTAGAAATAATCTAAATTCCTACAGTCTTTACTACATACATACATAACTTTAAGGCAGATATTTTAAAGATATAGCTCCCTTACCAATGAGTTCCTTATAATGAAGAACCTGTGGTAAGATGATATTCAACCTAGTCCTCTTCCTAGAATTGAAGGTCAATCTGCTCCTTCTCACAGGCACTCTTTAATTTAAGGAACAGGAAATTGTTAGTGAATTCTTTAAACACTCTCCAACATCGCCACCTAAACGGGAGTGATTACCCAACTTTTCAGTAAAATACTTTTCCCTGCATTAGTGGAGTGGCTTGCAGTGCATACTACTACACTCGAGTCCATGCATTCGAGTATTGGCCGAACCGAAATAATGGAAAAAGTTATCTTTGAATTGTTCGCTCCGCGGCAGGAAGTATCAACGAGTGTGCTTCTGACATGAAACAAAAAATTTTCCTCATGAAAATCCATTAGCCGTTCGGAGGTAGCATAAAAAAACGGAAAGCTTAGCTGAAAGTCGTTGCAGTGATTATAAAGCCCCATTTATATAGATCTGTAAAGGACCCCAAGTATAAAGATTTGGAGGTTATGTTAACGTCCAGAGGCAGTGAGCTATAGAGTTCACTCTTCAGCTGTTTAAACAAGACATCTCATAATAGTAGTGTTTCCAAATCTAGAGATTAAGTATGCTAATATCGTAACACCTCGGCCTAGTAGTTGAAGCCAACCAGCTTGACAGAGATGCTCCCTACTAAACTTTCCTCGTGCAAGGCCTTGAATCATTCTCCCTTAAAGTTTTCGGAGATCTTGATCAAAAGTGGACTAAATATCACTTGAGACTGCATATCCACCTACTTCAGAAAGGTATTCAGTTCAGTGCTGATCAGTTCGTAACGACTCGTACGTGAATATCTTCCTGATTCCAGGTATATGAAAGGTGTCACAACTATTCGTAAACTTTATAGTATCTTTTTTTCTTAGCAGTACCGAGATACTGATGACTGCGTTTAGAGAGCAGGCGGGCTAGAAGAGTAGCAAAACAGTCTGCTGTTGGGTGAGATTGATGTTATACGAAAAATAAGTCATCTTGTGCTTGTAAATGATAACTTTTCGCTACACAGAGAGAAATATCTATACTGTTTGTAACAAACTATATGAACTTGAATTTTGATAAGGGTCTAGAGAGTTTGCATATCTTGAGCACTGCAGATAAGTGCATCAGAAATCATAATTTTCACGCTTCGATGTGGAGGCTGACGATCTGTATATAAACGTTGCTGTACATACAGTAGAGATACATTCCAAGAGAAATACTATTTGACAAGGTTTGCAGGAGAACATCTGCATTTTGGCCGATGACACACTTTTTGTTGAAATTGTCAAGTAAGATTTTCACATAATATTGTTGAAGAATCTTGCTCTAATGCAGCTTAAGGATAGACGAGAATTCAACGTAGTAAATGTCTCTACACGACAATAGAACTAGTTCTTCATAATTTATAACGGCAGTATATACAGATTTCGCTTTTCGATCTTTACATACAATCATTAAGGAAATTACCTGTTTGCTTGCTCCTAAATGGTTGCTGGTCAGGTATCCAGCGAATACTTGGCCTAAACCAGGTTGGATGTAATAAGCTGCTTAAGCTTCTACAACGCATACTCAGGTGAATGACAGCCAAACTTTTCTACACAAAAATCGTTCATTGCAGTTAAATCAAATAACTTCCATTTACTGTAACCCGTGATGTGCTGACATTGCTCAGTATAAAGAAGATGTAAGAAGAAGTAAGCTCAAACTTAAGAGCTCAGCTTTTATGATATTAAAGCCCCTCCCTCTCAGAGGTGATAACATTTCAAAAGTCACTTCAATATGGTATTATGAATTTAGACTACTTCTAAGTGCATTTAATAGCGAGTTATGCGCGCTTGTACTCTCCTCTTTGCCTGTACTTGTGTGACCTTAATAACCTCAAATAAATCCATTAAAGGTATCAGCCTGCTCTTTGTCCTCTCTTCCCCACACTCAACCTCTGATAATGCAATCAACACATTGCACCTGCACTGGTCAACCCTATTGGCCTTATGCCTTTGTATCAAAGTAACATACATACCTGTATAAAAGTGCCTATGTATA